TTTGCGCCTCTGGATGTCCCTGTAGGCCTGGACGACACGCGCTCTCTCCTCCTCCACGATGCGCCGACGAGCCATCGACACCGGTGCTGCCGGGGACACTGGGGACGCCTGGCTCTGGCCCAGGCGAGATGCCAGGAGGAGCCGCTTCCGTCCAGCCTGCGGGCAGAAACGGGACAGGTCAGGGAGGATGAAGGACGAAAAAGCCAGGATTGGGCTCCAAGGAACTGTCACCAGGAGGCTGAGGCCACTGCTGCACTTCCAGGCCTGATTTCCAGCCCAAGGGAGGTGAGATGACCCAGGTCCAGCCCAGACCTGTAGGTACCCGAGGGCACAGCCGAGAGGTAGGAGGCATCACCCCCCTGCAGCTCACCTGCTCCGTGGGGCCCCAGCCCCTGGGCCGCGAAGTGATGGTGGGTGGCTGCGTAACCACTTCGCCAAACGCCACCGTGTCTAAGAGAGAAGCAGGTGCCGGTGTCAGGCAGGAGGTCCCCGGAACACGCCGCTCCAGGTCGCCCTCACCTCCCCACGCGCTGCTGGGGCAAGGGGTCACTCCAGCCACCCCGCTGCACCAGACCCACCTTGGAACAGGCTCTTCTCCAGCATGGCCTCTTTCTTCTCCTCCTTCTTCTTCCGAGCTTTTTCTAGCTTCTTATTCTGAAACCTGAAGAGCTGTGTTATGGCCAGGGCTCAGGACCACACAGGGAGCAGGGAGCAAGTAAGCGAGTTCCTACTCCATGGGATTCCCCCCCAACCTGGGGTCTCACAGCTCTCCCCCTAGCTCCAGCCCAGCAGGAGGGTGAAGCAGGACTGTGGCTCCAGTCACAGAGATTCGGCCCCATGGAGAGGAGGCCCACCGCCCTCCACCCACACCCCCAGTCGCTGCTGGATGCCAGACCTGCGCTGCAGCATCAGCGAAGCACCCACCACGTGCCCAGAACCAGGCTGGGGCACAGGTCTGGGCTGACCCAGTCCAGCCCCAGCAGCGGCAGTGGCCTTGCTCTCACTCTTTTTTTCTCTTGGACTTCTCCGGTGCCATCACCTCCTTCTCAGGCTCCCGCTGCAGCTGGTTCTTGGTCAGGAAGAGGACGCGCTGCACCTCCTGCTCCATGCGGCAGATGTAGGAGCGCTCTGACTCCCCCTTCCCCCTCCTGAACTTGGGCACGGGGATGTCTCCCTGGGCCTTGGGGCCCCTTGCCTTGGGCTGCTGCTTCTTCTCTAGGAGAGACGAGTGACATTACTGCAGCAGTGACAATCTGGGGCTTCCCTCCCCCTGGCAGGGCAGGGATGGGACATCACCGCGGAGGATCAAGATGCCCCACTGCAGGATCCAGCTGCACAGCAGTGCCGTGGGCTCCTGGGCCAGGCCCCGGGCACCCCTGCTCGGGCCAGCTCTGCGTCCCACCTGCCACCGGCCTCTTCCCAGGGTCAGGGCGCTTCATGGCCTCGCGGCTCTTGATGAGTTCCCGCAGGCGGAAGGGGATCTCCTGCTCGTCGGGGTGCTTGGGCTTCATGTTGTCCGTCTTCTTCTCTTTCCTGGGAGAGAACGAACACGGAGAGAATGAACATGGTGCCCATGCAGGCA